GTGAAAGTTACTTCGCGTGGAAAGTTCAACGTTTCTGAACAGGAAAAGGTGTAGATTAGTACTTCATATCATACATGCATAGCAGAAATAATACGTTTATTTTAAAAGTATGATTGTTAATAACTTTTTAACAAAAGACGAGCGACGGCTAAAACCTGTTGGAGGTTACTCAGAGTCATGACCTTGACAACATATGTCAAGGGCAAAGTCATTGGAGGGGAGTCCCCTCATCGACACATTTACCTTTAAAACTATCGCAGTACTATCACGAGTTAAATTGTAATAATATATTACCACGAAAAGTAACTGATTATTAATTAAAGTTGCCAGTACAAAGTGAACATACGTAAAGTGTACGTAACTTTTGGCCGATTTTCGAATCGCCGCCGCTTTCCGCTGTACCCTTCACTTCATATTAAATACATGTATACATATTTAAAATATATATTTTAAATAATAAAATTATTTTAAGTACTCCCGACTGTTGACTGGTATAAGAAACATAAAATAAGCTTTGAAAACTTATTTAAAATAAAAATTATCAGTTTTATTAAAACATCTGTTTTAAATAACTTAATTTTTTAAAAATGAAAGTGGTAAAGAACGTTTAATTCTTTACAGATATACTATTAGAATATAAAATTTCGACTCGTGTGCGTATAACAGAATAATCCCGAATGCTTCCTCTAACAGCGCAGCGCATACGCGTTTCCGTCTTGAACGGGTCGGTAAAACAGATTCCTTCCAGTGCCTCGTCGTCTGCTTAGTAGAAAGAGACTTAATCGCTTTTCAAACATCCTCCCACCTTAAATTGCGTGTTTTCTTGGGTCAATTTAATCTGTTAGAGAAGGAAAAAATAATAAAGATAGTAATTAAAACATAGCAAAAAAAATTAAAATTCCAGTCGCTCTGGCTTCTTTATGATTCGTCCGCTTCTTGTCCTTGTTGTTAGTTCAGGAGTAGATTCAGGATAGTCTTGAACCTCAATGGCCGGCGTGACCAAATCTGCGTATCGTTTAAAGTTCTCGTCACAGAGCTTCATTTCTAAGGGAATTAATTTTTGTATCGGACGAATCAATTCTCCATCGGATGTCTGTAGCTTCACAACACGTACTATGCCATCTTTTCCTGGGAAAAGTTCTTTAATTCTTGCCATAGGCCAATTAATACGTTTTTGCAAATCATTGACCACAAGTATGATATCGCCTACTAAGACCGAGATTGTATTATATTTGCGTTTGCTCCATCGAGACAATTGTCCCAGGTACTGGATGCGAAATCGTTTCCTTAACTCTTCTTTTAATCTCTGACGATAACGTAAATTTTTCGCCAACTGGGTTCTACCAATTTGATCTAAGTCTGGTATTCCCTCTTCTTGAATATCTTGAAGAAACATTGCAGGTGTGATTGCAACTGCTTCCGCAGCTTCTTCTGTCATATACGTGAGTGACCTCGAATTTATCACTGCCTCACAATCACATAAAACTGTGAACATCTCCTCATAATTGAGTGAGGTTCTTCCCAATGTCCTTTTCAATAGGTCCTTTAAAATGCGTATTAAGCGCTCCCACCATCCTCCCCACCAAGCAGCTGAAGGTGGGTTAAAATACCATTCTATTTCGTTAATAGCTCCGTGCCTAGCTATCTTCTTCCAGTTAATTCTTTTTAAGAGATTCGATGCTCCCACGAAGTTTCTTCCATTATCACTATAGATAATAGATGGTCTTCCTCTGCGTGCTATAAATCGCCTGAGGGCTTCGAAAAAACCTTCCATTGATAATGTGGTAACGAGCTCTATATGTATTGCTCGATAAACAGCACATGTGAAAAGACAAATGTATGCCTTATGTCCGTCAGATAAGAAAAGCGGCCCTGCAAAATCGATGCCTGTTTTTTCAAATGTATTGGCATCTCTTACTCTATCTTCTGGTAAAACTGCAGGAGGGGCTTCCATTGTTTTTGCAGAGTGTCTGCGGCATATCTTACATTTGTGGATAACGGAACGTACCGCTTTGCGAGTTTGAATAATCCAGAACTTTTCACGCAGATTATTCATTCTGATGTTGATACCCGCATGATTCAGCTTCACATGTGTATAGTGAATGATCCTCTCCGTCAACAAATGTTTAGTGTCGAGAATTATTGGATATTTAAAATCGAAATTATCTTGTCGATTAGAGAACGATTATCTATCGTTTTCGTACGCAGAAGTCCTTTATCTTCGAATACGTTTAATTTTTGTAACCGTGGATCTTTTGCTCCTTTGAATGATTCTTTCTGAGCTAGTCTACACAGAAGCAACTCAGCTGCGATGATCTCTTTGGCAGTTATTTCCTCATTGTTGATTACTTGAATCTTCCTACTGTTGTTGACGAATCTTGATATCCAAGCAATTAAACGTAAAGTTTTAACAAACGATGAGTACCTTTGTAAATACCACGGAATATTTTCTTCTCTAGAATTCTCAATTAAGTTACTCAAGATTACATTTCCATTTTCTTTGAAAAGTGCCTTCTGTGGTCGCATAGGCGTTTTCCGAAGTTCTTCATTGACCGATGTTTCGTTGACTTCTTCATCTTCTTTTGGCCATTTTTCAGGGGGTAATCTCAACCAGGATGGGCCTTCCCACCATTTAATTTCGAGAAATTTTTGTGCGTCACAGCCTCGAGAAGGCAAGTCTGCCGGATTCAACTTTCCCGGTACGTATCTCCAAGAATTTGGATCAGTGAGCTTTCTTATTTCTTGTACTCGGTTCCATACGAAAACCGTCCATTGTTTCTCTCGACGTATCCAGGACAAAACGGTAGTGGAATCGCTCCAAAAGTATCTTTTAATATGTTTATAATTTGTTGTCTGGTCGAAAGAATGCATTAATCTTGCTCCAATGGTAGCGGCGAGTAATTCAAGACGCGGTATTGTTTTCTTCTCTCGTGGCGCTACTCTCGATTTAGCTTCTACTAGATGCACTTTAACTTCTAGATCTGACTCTACTTGTATAAATAGAGCTGCAGCGTAGGCTTCCTGACTTGCGTCCACAAAAACATGGAATGTTATAGAATCTTTATCTCGTTGTGTACCAAAAATCCAACGAGGTATCCTTAAGATTTGAAGAAGATTTAACTGCTGCATCCATTCAAGAAATTCTTTCTCGTTATCTTGATCTATTTTTGTGTCCCAGTCTAAGTGTTGATCCCATAAACGTCGTAACATTAATTTCGGTTTGAGTATCACAGGACATAATTCCTAAGGGGTCAAACACTTTACACGTCGATGAAAGTACAATCCTTTTCGTAATTTTCTCTGGTATTGTGTTCAGTGGGAATCCTGACAATGCCAAAGTATCTTTTTCAGTGTCCCATAGAAGGCCGAGTACTGTAGTCTGTCTATATTGGCTCTTCATACCAGAGTACGTCCATTTTCTCAAATCGAATTTCGCTTCACTCATTAGAGAAACAGCTTCCTTTTGAAAAGTTTGCAAATCAGTTTCTGAATCAACGCTTGTGACACAATCATCCACATAAAATGACTTTTCTAGTTTTTTACAGATAACTTCTCTAGATGTAGAACTGGTAGCATTGGAACTTCGCTCAATATGTAGCTCAATAGTTGCTGCTAATAAAAAAGGGCTACTTGATACGCCAAAGACAACTCTACGATGTCTATATGTTATAATGTTTCCTTGAGTATCCCACCATAGAAACCTTAGTACATCTGTATCAGACTGAGTGATACTTATCTGAAGAAAGGCTTTTGCGATGTCTGCTGATACTCCTATCTTTCTCTCTCGGAAACGATGCAACATGGCCGGAATAAGCTCAAGTAGGTTAAGACCCGTTTCTAAACATTGATTCAACGATGGGGAGTCTTTCGTTTTCGCTGAAGCATCGAAAACGGGTCTAATTCTGGTCGTATTTCCTTCTTTAACAACATGCCTATGTGGAAGATAATAACTTTTCTTTTCAATTTTACTTTCTGGTATCTTTTCAATAATGCCTTCAGAAAGCCAGTCATTGAAGACTGTTTCGTAATCTTCGTGTAAGTTCTCCTGACGCAGTTTCTTCGTAATTGATCGTAGTCTCTTTTCAGCTACTTCTCTGTTGTCTTGCAATATTGGATGATTCATTTTCCAAGGCAATAAAACTCTATAACGTCCTTCATCGTCAATCTTAGTTGTATCTCGAAACAAAGTTTTCACTTCCGCTTGACGTGCTTCCTTAGTTTTACTTTCTATAGGATCTGTAATTCCTAGAGCATCCAGTTTCCATAGGTCCGATACACTGGCATTTTCTGTCATCATAGACACAATCATCAAAGTTGTATCTTCTTTGTTTTTGTCGATTAAATTTCTACCCATTAATGTCCAACCAAGTTTCGTCTCAATAGCCGTTATATTGTTATCTAACTGAAGTAACTTCCCGGTGAACAACCTTCCGGCAATATCTACTCCTATTAATACTGTGATAGGTTCGTCACCTTCTCCATCATCAGATAATTGTACCTTATTCTGTCTAAGCGCCTCCTTCCACGGCTTATTGTTTGATTTGGGAGTGCTGTGACAAATAACTTCTTGTTGAAAAACGATGAAATCGCACTTGTACGAACCATCGAGGTGCTCCAAATAAATCCGACATGCTTTGTGATTCTGTGGTTTGGCTCCTCCGAATAATAAGTGTACCATGGTTTGTTCTCCCACGGTCTTGTAACCTAATTCTTCTGCTGCTCGATTCAAAATATAAGACTTGTGAGAACCAGTATCAATAACAGCTCGTGCATTTACTGTACCTTTAGAACTCGCAATTTAACTTTTAACATCGGTAAAAATACTTTAGCGTCTAAAGAAATATTGGCAAGTCCACTACTTACTTCGTTAAAGACTGACTCACTTTGTTCTTTCTCAGTGCCTTTATCCGCTTTTTTGTCGCTAGTGATAATATTCTTACACAACAGCAAACAGTGTCCTTTTCCACACCATGCGCATTTTCCTTTGCTACGACATTTTATATAACTGTGTCCTGTCCGCAGACATTTAAAACAACCATGCTTATTCTTAATTAAAGTGATTCGCTGTTCCACAGACATGCTCCTGGCCTTTCCGCAATGTAGACTATCATGAGGCTCTTCGCAGAACAAACATTTCAGCGTACTTGTTTCTTTCACCGTTAACAGTCCGGCTGCCGTAACGATATCTTGATTTCGATCGCCTTTTAATTTCTTTTTATCCTTGCTCTTCGTCGAATCGTCATTTGTCTCAAAACACGTCTTGGCCATATGGATGTGTTCTTCGCTCTCCACCTCTTTACCTAAAAATGCCATCAAATGCATGAGACGATCTTTGGCAGTAACATTCGTAATCGAAACATTCATTGTAGCCATTGCCCGCTGCCAGGTTCGCAGAATTTCTTCTGGCAGCGAGGATTCAACCAATGGGAATAACATCGCAGCACACATGTCTGTAGTTACGCCTAGTGACTCGAGCGCTCGCAAATGTGTCTCTAATTTATCATAGATTGAAATCAGCGAGATGTTCTTGCTCTTGTTCAAAACTAATTTTAAAAGCTCTCGTACATAAAATTCTATAAGCAAGTCTTTTTTACCGAAACGAGATTTAAGACTCTTGACGGCCTTCTCATAGTTATCCGCGGTAGGGGGGAAACTATTGACTACCTCGAACGCGCGCGAATCTTTAACTGTAGATTGTAAAAGATAGTGAAATTTGTCTTCCCTTGATAACGTCGCGTCTTCGTGAATCTTTCGAAATGTGCTCCAAAATGAGAGCCAGTCTTTAATTTCGCCCCCGAATTTCCTCAATTCGATCTTAGGAAGCTTTAGCACACGAATACTTTCCTGAGAAGTTATTATTATTGGCTGGGGAACTGGCATCTGCGACGGCCCTGCTTCCACAAGGTCACTCAGCTCGATCTTTGTCTGATGATATTTGGCCGTATATTCGTCAGCGTTCTCTACTTCTTTAATAAGAATTTCTTCTTCTTCATCAGCGTCAAGCATCGCATCTTGTATCTTGTGACTCAATTCACCGAGTTCGCTTGCTTTATCTCGTATTAATGCAAACTGTGTCTGTAACTTGGTTAAGTCCGGTGACGACTTCTTTGTCTCAATTTGAAAAGCGTTATACGCCTTTGTAAACGAGCTGCGTAAAACCTTCTGTGCCGATTTCAGCTTTTCCATCGTGGTCGACAACTTAACCTCTCACGGTTATTCTTCTTTGAAAGTGGTTAGCAACGATACACGTTTAGTCACGGTCGCCAGAATGTTGCAACCAGGATATAATGACCGTGAAAATAAATACACGTGGACTTGATACAATTCGGCTAACTTTTAATAATGAGAAGGATTTACAATAAACTTAATTTCGACTCGTGTGCGTATAACAGAATAATCCCGAATACTTCCTCTAACAGCGCAGCGCATACGCGTTTCCGTTTTGAACGAGTCGGTAAAACAGATTCCTTCCAGTGCCTCGTCGTCTGCTTAGTGGAAAGAGACTTAATCGCTTTTCGAACAAAAATAAAAATTATCAGTTTTATTAAAACATCTGTTTTAAATAACTTAATTAATTCTTTACAAATATACTATTAGAATATATACGTCTATAATATATCAGAAATTTAAACCTTTAAAACTTTAAACGATTATCTAATAATAATATATTAACCACGAAAAGTAACTGATATATTATTAATCCTAACATATTATTAAAATGAAAAGGTCAAGCCATGTTCAAAAATAGATCCTCACAAATTAAGGAACCCAACAAATTTAAACCTTTGAAAGCTAACCGCAAAAATTTGAACGTTTCTAAATTAAAACAATTACCTAACCACAAAATAAAAGACCCAATAAGTTTCAACCTCTGAAAATTAACCCCAAAAATTTGAACCTTTCTAAATTAAAATGATTATCTAATAATGTAACCTAATAATTTAAACCTTTAATACTTTAAATGATATTATCTAATATAATATATTATCACGAAAAGTAACTGATATATTACTAAATGTGCCAGTTTAAAACGAACATACATTATGTATATTTTCTATGTTGAATATGTACCACGAAAAGTAAATGATAGATTATTCAAGGTGCAAATTCAAAATGAACATACCTACATATAAGTAAAACAGATTACAATCTGCATATTACAGTTTTCTAGAAAATAACTGCAATGAACATACATAAAGTATTTTTTCTATGTTGAATATGTACCACGAAAAGTAACTAATAGATCATTCAAGGTGCAAATTCAAAATGAACATACATACATATAAGTAAAACAGATTACAATTTGCATATTACAGTTTTCTAAAAAATTTCTGCAATTTGTTATTTTTAGTGCACAAAATATAAAAGTCGATTATTGAGATTTGATTTGATATTTATTTAATTTATACTAGCCCGTGCAATGAAAAATAATTGCTTGTAATTCCAGAGTACCAATCTGTTAATGACTCGGAAAAAGAACATGGCGGCCTGCTCTCAAAAGACTTTCGATGGATG